AATGTTATTAACAATGCAAAATAGTGCCGCCACATATAAAAGTAATTTGTCAGTTTCTTATAAAAATAAGTATTCTTTTACTACCTGACCTAACAAATGTACTTAAAAGAAACTCTCATTCAATGTTATTAACAATGCAAAATAGTGCCGCCACATATAAAAGTAATTGTCAGTTTCTTATAAAAATAAGTATTCTTTTACTACCTGACCTAACAAATGTACGCCTTGGTACTTACACAAAAGAACTAAATATTTATTTTGACACAAAAATCTGTACATGAATTTGTGTAGTACATTTGCTCATAATTGCTGGAGTTTAAAAGCAACCAAGTTCTCCTTCAGATGGCAAATGGATAAACTTGGGTGCATCTAAACCTTTAAATACTATTTAGAGCTAGAAATAAATGAGCTATCAAGTCATAAAAGACATGGAGGACACTTAAATGCATATTAATGAATGAAAAAAGCCAGTCTAAAATGGCTACGTATCATCTGGTTACAATGATGTAAAAGTCAGGAAAAAGCAAAACTATGGAGACAATAAAAAGATCAGTAGATGCTAGGTGGTGAGGGGAGCAAAGATGAACATGCAGAACGCACGTAATTTTTAGGGATGCAAACTATCCTAAGTAGTACAGTGGTGGATCTACGTCAATATAATTTTTTTAAGTATATGCATTTTGGGGGAGTTCTGTGGATTATTTTCAAAATTTTAGGCATGTTAGGCAAGTGCTCCATCTCTGAGCTACCTCCCCTGCTAGATTTCTTTATGAATTTATCTAACCCTTAGAATGTACATCAAAAGACATCCCTAGTGTGAAAGTGTGGACTTTGGTTAATAGCAATGTGCCAGGGTAGGTTCATCAACTATAACAAATGCACCACTTTGGTGTGGAATGTTCATAGCGGAGGACGCTGTACTTTAATGGGAAGAGAAAGTATGCGGCAAATCTCTTTGACTTCTGCTCAACTTTTTTGTGAACCTAAAAATTGATCTTTGTAAAAACTGAGTCTTTTTCAAAAAACGAAATGAAACTTCTGAAAATAAAATTACTAGTTCTGAGAAACAATACACGGAATGGAATTAACGGGCTATTAGAACATTATAAAAGAGATTAGGTACTAAGAAAATGTAGCAATAAAAACTGTCCAAAATGAAATGAACTATGCCAAGACGTGGTTAAATAGGTAGGTTTGATGCTTATTCAGTAAATGGTTCAAATACGCTGACTGGGGAACTTTATTTTTAAACAGACTTGAGTGAAAAGGGCAGAGAACAAAGGGTCCTTTTTGCTGGTGCGAATCATGACCAAGAAGGTGAAATGCTGAAGCTGACTGCTTCTTGATCTTCTTGATTGTGGGAGAAGCTTCCGTGGGGGGCCCATTTCTGCTGAGGAGCTTTGGGAGCAGTGCTCAGAAATGTGCCTAGAGCCTGTACTTCTAATCTGTAAATTAGTTATGCTCAACAGCAGTGCCTTCACTCTTAAATGGAATAATGCAGCACTTTAAGTAGATTCAGAATTACCAAGACCCCAACTCAGTATCAGATGATTGAAGAAATGACCCTTCTGTGCTGTTCTTGATTACCAGGCTCCACATAAACTCCTTCTATAAGAAATGATCAAAATACATGGTAAATGATTAAAATTTTTTAAAATTATTACAATAAAAAGACATTATCATTAATCCATCGCGAAAGACTCTCCCTTGCGTTAAACACACTTATCCTATTGTTCTAGAAAATTTCTGTAGCAATTACGGAAGTCTTCTTTTGTGTCTTCATAAGATATGATCAAAAATATAGGGAATGCTGCTCCTGAGTGACATAAAAAAACATTATGGCATGTTCGTATTCACTTTATTCACTTGAACTGGCACCATGTGACTTCTGGCTCTTCCCCAAAGTTAAAATGACCATGAAAGAAAAACATTTGGAATCAATTCAGGGCAATGAGGCCACCATAAATGTGCAATTAAAGACACATGCAAAAGGACTTCCAGGACTGCCTCAAAATGGCAAGAACAATGGAATACATGTGCTTGAGGTGATGAGGAATATTCTGAGAGGGCTAATGGCCATGTGTCTTTTATTGTAATAATTTTTAAATTTTTAAATAACCACAGTGTTTCCGATCTCATTGCATATATTTTATAGCTCCATTCTAGTGTGAGTTTTGTTAATTTCCACTTCAGAATTTTATGTTTGTTCCAGGCTATCCATTATTTCTATTCTATTTCCTACTGGAATTTTTAAGACAATTTATGTCTATATCTACTGGAACGGAATTTTTGTGGAAAGATTTTCTGACACTTCATGAAAAAAAGAAACAGTTGTCATAAGCCACTTTCATTATGAATGTGCTCTCCCTCTCCACAGTGGAGCATCCCAGAGCAGTGCAGATTTATCTTCTAAAGTAATTTCTTTCCCTTGACTGTTTCACTGTTTCAACTTCAATTTTTGTTGGCTGGGAAAAGGAGTCAGGGAAAAAAGAGCTCAGTGTGCTTGTCAGTTCTGATCTCTTACCTGGTGCATTCATAATCCTCTCTTGGAGAAACCTAACTTAATTCTTCCAACATCACCCATCTGGACTAGGTGACAACGACGGTGGAAGTCCACACTATCACACAAGGGATGACTTTTGATGTACATTCTAAGGTTTAGATAAGTTTATAAAGAAATCCAGGTAGCTCAGAGGTGGAGCACTTGCCTAACATGCACAAGACTCTAAGAACAAAATGTTCTCACCTCTGCCTCTGTTACAGTCGGTCTCCCTGTGCCTCTCTTTTAGTCTCTGTCCACTCCATCCTCTTACTGTTCCTGTTTCTCGATTCTCTCCCTCCCTATTTAAAGTTGTATTTTGCAGATGATTCACATGTCTTATTTTCAGTACCAATCCAAATTTAAACTAAATCAAGTGGTTTTATGTGACTGTTTAAATCACCACAGATGTTAGGGAAATTACCAACCTCAGCTTATTTTCCTCCTTAGAATTAGGTTTCACCACATGCCAAAGCCCAGCAGAGGGCAGCCTTCCATTTCAGATGCACGAATAGGGCAAGGAAAAAGGCTCCGCCACGCAGGCAATGTGTTTTATTCACAGTTGTATGCTAAAATTTAAATGAAGGGGCTATTGCAGTTAGAGGGCAATTTATTTCCTAAGTTATTGTGGACTGTTTGTTATTTTGAGTAATAGGCTGAGGTAATTCTTTCTCTATAAGAAAAATAAAGGAGAAAATGTTCAGTGTTTGCACTCTCTCCACGTTTAAAGCATTAGCTTCAAATTACAGAAGCAAAGTTTGCCCTGTGGGATCCTGCGTCCTCTGGGTTACAGTGTGTGCAAGTCAAGTCATCGTGGAGAAAATGGTTTGGAATGTCAGACAGGTCTGATTTTGAATCCCAGCCCTGCCTCTTAGCCAGCTATGTCACTTGAGCAAAGGAATTGATGTTTTTCTTTTACAAAGTAGGGATAATTATTAATGTTTCTTGAAAACATACTTCATAACACACACAGGAACTGAGTATTTATATTTGTCATCACAAAAAGTCCTCACCATCTACCTATGCGATAAGCTTTATATCACTGTCATGTTACAAAGGAGGAAACCAAGACACAATGGCACACGTGAAGTATCAGAACAGAAATGTGAAACACCACAGACGTTAGGGAAACTACCAACCTCAGCGTGTCCTCCTTCTTAAGTATGCTATATGAATTATCATGAGGGATGCAATAATATAAAGCTGAGAGTGCAGGCAGTATAATATCATTATTATTACTGTTATTATCAGTGTAACTAGAGTTACACTGATTATACGTTATAAACACTAAATAAGGTTATACATTGAAAACACTGAAAACGAGAATCAATACTTTAGATCAAAATTTCTGTACTCCAAAATGTAATCTGAGGCTGAGAGTGTAGTTCATTGGTAGAACAAGTACTTGCCTAGCACATGTGAGGCCGTAAGGGTGAGCCCCAGCTCTACAAAAAAAAAAGGGGAAAAAAAAAAAAGAAAACTCTGCTCAGCTCTGGTTGAAAGCAATAACAGCCTCATTTTTCTTGGCAGCTATCTTTAAAATGATTGGCTCCCTGTCGCTGTCATGGATATGGACAGAATATTCAAACACAGATGTTCTGAAACAAAACACGAACCTCTCCTGCTCAGGATTTTTCCAGCCCTGCTTCCCCGAATGTAAAGGATAAGACCGGCTGCTAAATAAAGCCAAGATCTACATACCAGTCTATGGACTGACAGTCTCCTTGCGCAGTAGCAAGGGACTATGTGATCCGCTGCAGCCCCACAGCAGTTCTGGTACCCCTGAAGAGCTCCATGCTCTCTCCCTTTCCACAGCCCTCTCCTTGGGCTTGTTACTTAAGTCTGTTAATAGATCAGTGGGGGTTACTTAGGCTAACAGTATTATTCAAAGAGAAGTAGACGTGTTTTGCTGCTCTGGAAGTTCTCTCTGCTTATTCTAAGCCTGAATTGAGGTCTCACACTGCTGCACTACCAAAATCAAGAAAATTTTTAAACAAGCAGATGAAATTCTGGCTCCAGGCCCCACATGCTATTGATCCCATTTCAGGACTGTCATTTTAAGAAAGTGAGTGCTAAATAATGGGGTGATAAGATAATTCACAAGTGTATATCTTATAAATATTTCATTTTTCCTGTTTGCACCAAATGAAAGTTTTAGCCCACATACTAATCTTTACAATGAAAATCTCGAGTCAACTGAACATTTTCAAAATGCAATACTATTCAAAAAGAGCAATGTTATGATGATTTTATCTCACTATATTTTTCCTGAAATGAGAACTGTGGCAGCACATCATTTGGCATAAAAATAAATGCTTCAATACCTTTAATATGAGCTTCAAAAAATAGCAAATGTCTGAGCCATGATGTTGCAACTTGTGCTGTCAAGTAGGCTTACCGATGTCCATCAGTGCTGGTTAGAACCCATGGAAAAGGAGATTTTGCTTAGCAGAATACTCACCCCAAGATAATTGCCGTCAATGAACACGACGGGGAGAGAAGGAGCTTCAGAAACTCGTCGGCATCGCTCATCTAACTCTTTCCCATATTCTCCATTCAGAGCTATGTTTTTCTCTTCAAATTTTACTCGATGGTTTTGGAAGATTTTCCTCACCAGTTCACATCTCTCAAAAGTTGTCCTTACCACACGAAGGCAAGTGGTATAAATCACTACGCGGTCAAATTCTAGGTCGGTTGATGGTTGCTGAAGGAAAAGCATTGCAGTGTTAATATATTTCTCATTCTTATATGTTATGCTTTCACATTCTTATATGTTATTATCTTGAGAGAATTAGCAAACCCTAGCAAGTGTCTTACACGTTAAAGTATGCTATAAAAGTTAAAGGAACACTTTATCAATTTGAAGATTTTTTTTTTTTTGAGGCATGGTTTCATTGTGCAATTCAGACTGGCCTTGAACTTGCTATGTAGTCCAGGCTGGCCTCAAACTCACAACAATCCTGCCTCAGCCTCCCCGGGGCAGGGACTACAGGAGTGCACCACCAGGCTGGGCAAAGCATTTCTTTTTAAATTAGAACATCTGTACTTGAGATGGAGTAGAGATAACAATCAATACAATTTAAATGGTTAGAGTTTTACATATATAAAAACTAAGTAAATCAATATAGTTTATTTTCCTTTTCTTAGTAACACATCAAATAATAGCATATCCTAAAACTGGTGATATCTTCAACAAGGTACCTTACAATAAAATAATGAATGAATCCTTTCCTGATGTTTTATAGCCATGGTTCAATTACCAAATCTGACTCTTCAACCCAAAGTAAAATATATCACAGAGTAGTTAGGGTTACCATTTAACCAGTTGGAAATTCTTCTGTGAATCAATTTATCAAATTCTATAGTCTTTTGAGCTTATTATTAGGAATACTAAGACTGGTGCCATGGGATTGTTCTGAGGTTGAAGTACCATGACACGTGTTCTCATCTTGTATTGAGTGACATGGTCCTAACATGTAGTGAGAAGACTCTGTCATGGGAAAAAAGGACTGAAGGGCCAGAAAGGGAACATACAGAAGCCAACAGAAGTGGGCAGGGGTCAAAGCAAAGCAAGAAGAGACTAGCAACCCCAAAAGGGAAAGGACACACTGGAGCAGAGGCAAGCAAGCAACACAAAGAACCTAGGCCTTATATGATAATCTTTTTCTATGTTTCTCACTAAAGCAGGCACCAGTGACTGCTTGCTTGGAAAATCCAGCCTAGCACTGATATAGTGTGTTAATGGACTTTTAGGTCCTGACATCAACTGGAAAGCCAGACTTTAGTCACTGAACAGATTATAACTGTACCATGAGACCAAGGGTTACCTGAGTCTTTACACAGGGGTACACCAACTAACAATACAATCACACAATTTGCAATACCCTGTGAAGTCAAATTCGAGATTGGAAACAATTACAGATGACCAAATAGTAAAACCAGCCATAAAAAGCATCACCATTTTGTATACAAAAAACATCAGACCACTCTGCCCAGGTGCACATAGAAATACAGTATTTAAAAAGGGGCAAAGTCAAAAAAATATCAGTACAGTGGGCTCTACCTTGTAGAAAGAAGACTTTTCCTAAAGATCACATTTGTTAAAGATGTATGAGTTACTTCTTCCCTCGATAGACTATGGCAATTAAGTTGAAAACCCAGAAGCCTAGCAGGGACAAGCCGGTACCACAGTTCAGAGGTAGGTCAAGAGAAGCAGATATTGGGGACAGACAAGGAGAGTGGCATCTAAAATAGAGAAACCTTACAGAGCGTTCAGCAGTTTTAGTTTGCCAGCCTTTGACCTCAGTGTTTTTAGACATGACTATTTTATATGAAAGTTTAAAATATGGAAATTGATCTCTAAATGATTGTACTAATTATAAATATTTTAAAAGACTATGCAGATAAATACATCCAAAGGCTGAAGGTGGCATGTGTTAATATTCTGTCACTGTAACAAAATACCTAAGATCATCAACTTAAAAGATTGAAAGTTCATTGTGACTCATAGTTCTGAGGTTTCAGTACATGATCTGGCCTCATTGTTTTGGATCTGTGCTAAGGAAGCACATCACTGCAGGACTTCCTGGTAGAGCAAATCTGCTCACTTCATGCCAGGAAGCAAAAGAGAGAAAAAAGAAATAGCTGGGAACCACAATCACTTTAAGGTCATACCCCCAGTGACCTAATGACCTCCCGGTAGGTCCCACCTTTTAAAGAATGCACCACATTCCGTTCCAAATATTGCTACCCTGGGAATACCATTTAACACATGGGTCTCTACAGAACATTCTAGATCCAATCAACAGCACAACACAAATTACCAATTAGTACTTGGAAAAAGAGAGCATGGGCTTGAAAATCTGAGATACCTAATCTCTGCCCCGGTCATATATGGGTCTTTGAGAAGGAAATACACTATTAAATCTCCATGTACTCATCTGTGAAATGTGATAATGACAATAGCTATTCAACAGGTTTGCTGAGAAGATTAAGTAAGAGAATGTCTTAGTGACTTTCTGATTGCTGGGACAAATATCCAACACCCACAACTTAATGGCAGAGAGGTTTATTTTAGTGGTGACCAGGCCAGGGCTGGCTGACTCAAAAGAAGTTAATAGCAGGGCAAAAAGGCATGATGGAGGAAACCTACTCATGGAGTGTTGGACAGGGTGGAGCTAGTGAAGGGAGGAACAGATGAGGAAGACAGACCCTTTTAGGCCTCACCCCAGTGACCATCTTACTCTAACCATGCTGAACCTCCTAACATTACATTTAGCTATAAATTCATCAGTTGACTAATCTGTTGATGAGTATCACATCTTAATATCCAATCACTTCCGCAAAGCCCCACCTGTGAGTGCATGAAGCTTTGGGGGGTGGGGGAACATCTACATATAAATCGTAAGAGAGATATATGAAAGATGGTGCTGTTCTAGGTTAAGCAAAGAAAAATAGTACAGCTCTTATCATGGGGTTTTTCAGATTAAAAATACACATTAGAAAAAGTCAGTAGAAAATACAAAGGCAATTAAGGACAAAAGGTGGATTATTACTATGCTTCAGATTAAGAAATAATGAGAAAGCACCAAAATGTGCAAGGGTCTATGACTCTTCTTCACATTCACCTTTATGGGAAAGCAAGGCACACAAGTTCACTGTAGATATTGCAGATTTTGGAAGAGCTTTTCTGATCTTATTGGAATAATCTGCTTCTTTCTTTACAAGGTAGGTGCCTGTTTTTTCTTATTCTTAGCTGGCTGACCTGGCTAGGAATTCTCCTACTGTATTAAGTAGAAATGGTAAGAGTGGAAAAGTTTGTTATGATATTAGTTGTGTGCTTTTCATGAGTGTCCTTTACTATGATGAAGTAATGCCCTTCTATGATCTGTTTCGTTGAGACTATTTATCAGGAAAAGACAATGAACTAGATGCACATTCTAACTAAAGAGCTCTGTTTTGGTGATATGTAACAGCTTGACAGAGACTCTGAGTTTATGTGCCTTTAAAAGAACTGCTAGGCATTAATTTAGCCCTTAGAATAATTTTTGCAAAATATAGTGGTCAGTGTATAATCACAAACAAGCAATACAATTCCCTACCAATATAAAGTTCATACTTTAAAGTAATAAAAACCAAAAAGTTGCAAAAATATAGAAATACAAATTGTTATGTATCGTGAAAGAAATGTACAAATAGTTATGAGAACATTTTCTTGTGGTGCCTTTTTTTCTTGTCTCAGAATTCAGGAAAGTAGTTTCTAACATTTCATTTCAGAAGAGAAGAATATTAAGAAGTTACAGAAACAAACTAAGTAAAGAGAGTAGGTAAAAATACTATATGAAAATGCAAACTCCCTGAGATGGGGGAAGATTGCAAGTTTGAAATTTTTCAAAGGTCATTTCTTGAAACACACAGAGGGAAAAATATATTACTCTATACAAGTATACAGGGTCAATATATATTGTATTTTACACCCACTTCAAAAAGAGAAAATGAAAATATTAAAAAGCTTTTCTAGTGGCTGACAGAGGTTCTACTGAACCACATTTACATCTCAAAAATATGAATGAAGTAAGGCTAATGTATATAGTTGCACACTAACATTAGCATAACCTAAATAAATGGCTTGCCTATGGTTGTGTAATCCACACTTCAAGTAATCAGATTCAGTCCCATTGCCAACTCCATTGGTATGAAAACCAAAATCAATTATGGAGCAAATGCGGGGTAGGAAGTATGTTGTATATTAGAGTAGACTATTCAATAAAATGTCCTAATAAAGATCTTATTGCACATTTTTAGTACAGTTTAGAAGTAGGTTTCTCCAGGGGTAATTTCTCTGAGTGATTTCTCAGATCACTTTCAGTTTTGTAATATGAATTTTAAATGACACTGCCTTTTTAAAAAAAAAAAAAAAAAAAAAAAAAAAAAAAAATCCCTTCTACATTTCCTTCGTTTTCTTTCCCCGAACAGATTTATCTGAGCATCTGGTCAAACACCTAACAATAGCCTGAATGGTTCACTGTCCTTCTTTTCCCTTTCATGGGTTACCATGGGGATAGTGTGGTGAAGGATGGAAGCCTCACAGTTCCTGAGACCCAGTGACCAAGGAAGCCCATTACCTCTTTCTGCTGATGAAAACAACAACTCTTTAGGAAGTTTGGAAACCTCACAACAAAATGTAGCACACATAGATTCATCGGAGCGGGATGGAAATCGCTATTTGGAGAATAAGGGACTGCCAAGCAGCCACCCTCGGTCCTCAGCCTGAGCTTTTCCCTGCAATAGGCGCCAGGAAACAGTAAGCACTTTTTCACCTGCTCATCTTGAGACAATTCCAAAGTTCTCATGCACTGGAACTGACCCTGGAACTCAGGACCAGAATTAGTCACACCTGTTCCCCACACAGGACGAGCCTGAAGTGGGCTCAGTACCAGAGACTGGAGCAGATCCATCGGGAATTCCTGTTCCTTGTAAGTCCAGTCACAGGCCTCCTGGAACAGGATTCCAGCCTTTCAGTATCTCTAAAAATCATCAAGACCCCAGAAGTTCCCAGACAGCTCCAGGCATTCTGTTCTTCAGCATAAAACAATTTTTTAATACATTTAAAAAATGTTTGTAACATCAATGGCAGATATAATGCTAACCCCTCATTTAACTACCACAAGAACTTGCATGGTGTTACTGTCTTGATTTATAGTG